TACAAAATAAACTAGTGCATCAAAGCTACGCTATGGCGGTACGAAGTTCGCCGGGTCAGCTAATCTATTACATATATAAAAATGCATCGCAAAATTTCTTAGTAAGCGCATAAGTCATAACTCAACAACGCCTGGGCCAATTTTGATCGATTCTTTTTTGTTTTATTATTGTCATGAGAAAATTATAATAAAAAAATCGAAAGTTATAGGTAAACAGCGGGAATGTGCCGCTAGTACTTAATAACTTATACTTACTACATTTTGAATACTTAGTTCTTACACCGCTGTAGTTGTATTTATATTAAATCATACTTTCAAATCATCAAAACTCATTTAATTCAATACCAACTGCCCTCGTATTTTAAAGAACGTCACCGATGTTACTGACACTAGAGTTTACGGATTGTTCTCGAAGTTCTCTGCCCTTTAGTCTATTTTTACACTTATTTATTAAACACTACAAGCACGAATGCTCTTTCGCTGAGCAAAAATAATTATCTTTGTATTTATATATAATATACAATGTGACGTCACAAACATTTGTTGACAACACGAAAGTCGAAATATAGAAGTACTCAGTACGTGATCGCGCCAACAGTCTTAGTACTACTACAACCGTTAATCAGTAATGACGTATTGATCGTATTTCATTCGGAAAATTCGCGATGCGTGCCCTTATACAGATATAAGCAAACTAAATTTTTCCGAAGCATCCTGACCTGTAACTTCCCCTCTACCACCGCACTCCCCCCATGGCCCACTCTACTTATATTTTTAATATTTCTACGTAATTTTATTGGGAATTAATCCTACCTCTTCAGACGTAATTGGATAATTATAGTACAAGGGAGGAAAAAATCGTTAGTACATTGCTCAAGTTCATTTCTTTGGCAAATATAATTTCTTCATAACACCGTTCCTATTTGTTTACAAACCTTACTAAGCAAGTCTCCTTGGTTATCACCTTAAAATTTTCTGTAGCCGTGTTGATACCTCTTGTCTCTTTAAGGAGAGGAAGTATATACATATAACAAATACTTATAGACCAGTTACACTATTTTACTGCAGTTCTACTAGGATTTCACGACCTGATCTTACATAACCTCAAAACTCAAACCAGCTTTAAAAGTTTATGTAAAAGGGGGCGAGCCTTAACTCATACATATGTAGGTCCCAGTTAGCATGCTGGTTAAGCAACAAAACATAAAAAATAAAACATTCTGTTTATAACCACACAACACAAAAGTAGTAATCTAAAATTATCAATTTGGCAATTTTGCTCTTATATCCGTTCCAATTTTAAAATAGATAAGATTTTAAGTAAAAACAAGGAACTCAAGGCAATTATATAATAACATAGTTATATAATAACAAACAATACAAGGGTGCCAACCCGAAACCAGTATCGAGTTTTCACTAAGCCTTATACTGTCGGCACTTCTTTTCATTTTTTTTCTGTTGTAGTTAAATGTTAATTCTTTTTATTTTGAAATTGTTTTTGAATGTTGTTTTGATTTTTGGTTTTTATAATTGATTTGGTGCATCGTGGTGCCGAATAAATGGTTTATCTTTATTTCTTTCTAATGTACTGGTTACCAAAAGGCACAAACGCACAGAATGTATGCGATTGACATCAGCTTCTATTACGATAATATCAATCGTTTAGCTTCTCTACTGCATTCTATAAATTCCCAATAATGGTTTATGAATTAATGATTATGTTCACTCCTATGTTGTATCACAATGTTGTCGACTGTTACCATGAGCGACTTGCATCCTTTCGTTGTCTGATTACATTGCCATCGTATCCTGGAGCCCTTGTACCCACTCACCCGATTATATCGATAGCCACCATATAAGATAATCGGATTACCTCTGTTCGTTACACTAAAAATCGGTTCCATTACTGTAAAAAAAATGATTAATTATTTATACGTCTGACGTCAACAGCTCGTGTTTCAATCTATACTCAGATGTCTGTTGAGACTGAAAACGTAATGACTAGTATTATAAAGGTGTTCGTGAAAATCATGTTAACAAATAGATAAAATATTTAATAAAATATAAAACAAATCAATGATTATGTTCATTTCTTAATCCAATTATGTCATTTCCAATAGTGTACATAACTGATTTGCAGCCCCTCGGTCGTTTTATGCATCTCCAGCGCGTCTTACTGCGATCACTAACTATAGCACTCGCTTGATTGTAGCGATATGGACCGAACATGATGACAGGATTCCCATATTTTGTGGTTGTGAAGATTGCCTCTGTGAACGGTTGAAGATGTAAGCTTTAGAAAGTAGTACCAAACTATGTATATTCACTCAACACAAACCATATATACCTAAACTCTTACATAATATGGTTATTTATATATACATATATAAGTATATTCATACACATTTCTTATTTGTCACTATAACTACTTTTATGCATGTAACAAATTGATAGAAATACCGATCAAAATCAGACCGTGTTATCCATACCATTTATAACTTTATACTTTACAAATAAATAATTTGTTAATTTAATATTCATGACTGTCTCAATACCTGATGATCACTTTTGAATTATTGAAATCGGACATCCCATTAAAAAGATACAATAAAATAACATTAAGATAAATGCGGGTGGCAGCTGCCACGCACCGCATTTATTTTTCGAGTAACTAACTCGACGAGACCATTAAAATTAAAAAAAAAATTGCCTTCCCCTAGGATTTTCTCCTGTGTCGTGGGTGCGTTTACAAACATACAATTTCACCTACTACACACGCACCCAGACCCGCAACAAAAATTTGTGGATCACACACAGAGTTGTTCCGTGCGGGAATCGAACCCAAAGGGAAGTCAAATACATTCATTCAAATTCAGTCGTCGTGGTCACCGTCCGCGGCTGGGGGCGAGGTCCAGCTTTCGCGCGATCCAGAGGCTGGCGTGTGTGTGGAGAGAGTGGTTGCGCTCGCTGCCTGCAGTTGCAGGCGAGGTCTTTGGAGTAGTCGGGCCTCTTGCGGGGCACGATGTGGTTCAAAGTCATTGCGGGAGAAGGAGGTGCACCATTATGAACTAAATAGGACCGTGGCGCGTAAGTATACATTTGTATCTGTAGGTGTAGCTATTTATGTCTGCTAAAAAGCATATACAAAATAAAAATAATTCCGTATACATTTCTGGGGGAAAGGATTAACCAAGCCAAAAAAGCTGCACTTAAAATCGAGATAAAATAAAACAGTACAACATAGTTCACTATTAACATACAAACTATTTATTTATGACACTTAATGCATCGTGGCGAAGGCCACGTATCCACACGTCGTACATAGTGGTTTGATAAATTTTCTATTTTAATTTAATATACGTACATTCACATTAAATCTTACTTTTATAGTAGCTAAGTTATTAAAAGTCCTACAAAAACATTATAATTACAAACCTATAAAAATGCATTGTTTGATTGAGGGTAAGACCAAATTTGTTGTACTAACATCTATCCCACTCATACTAATTTTATACAATACCTTATATGATAAGACCTAATATAGATCGAAATTCCAAGTATGTTTAAAATTAAAAAGTATCAAGGCGTAACCTTCTACTAATAAAGTGACCAATCATGATCAGGCAATTATAGATACTTAACGCCATGCTTATTTTCGAACTATTAATGAAACAGCTGCACGATTACATATATAACCTATACACCTTTATCTTTATATAAAATAGGGCATCAATCGGGCTGACCGATCACCTGATAGTAAGATCCCGCAATGCAAAAAACGTTACATTCATTAATGTGTCGCCGGCCTTTTCAAGGTAAAAGATTTGATTGGGGATGGGGGCAGGATGCGCCTGCTGTAACCTCATTTAGACGGCGAAACGCAAAGCTTGTTGCTTCGCACCCGTTTTCATTAAAAAAAATAAGTATGGGAGAGCCATGCTTCCGCACGAATTTGCAAGCTTGACCTGCACGGCCCCACAAAAAACCGGCGTGAAACAACTACAGTTGTCTTTCGCCTTGTGAGTGAGGTTACCGGGGGCCCAATTTTTCCCATCCACTTATACCTCCCCAATCCTTAAATTCCAAAAAATTGGCGACACATTTTTCTGGAGTCACAGTATCTATGGGCGGCGCCAATGACTTAACGTCGGGTAATCAGTGCTAGTTTGTCGCTGTATTACATAGAATTAAAAAGGCCGTGGTTTCCATCCGGCCAATTCGTGGACCTTCGGAGTACAAAAGCTAAGAGATAATATGTCATGTCAATGATTATGTTCATCTTTATGGCTAACTATAATACTGTCTACGGTGACAATGGTCGACCTGCAGCCATTGGGGTAGCGGGTACAAGTCCATCGGAGTTTAGACCCCTTATATCCGCTAGATCGATTGTATCGATATCTGCCGAACGTGATAACTGGATTACCGTTTTTGGTTGTCCCGAAAACCGGGCCTGAAATTAAAAAGAATAATCTAGGAACAAATAAACAAACTGTGTTACTTCATGCTAAAACTTCGCCTACTATGGTTGCAACATACTTGCATTATTTTGTTCTTCTCGCAAAAAGGTTGAATGTATAGGCAATAGGTGTAGGAATATCGTCTCTTGATATCCTAGCACTTAATATTAAAAGTCTTGATATAGTTTGAAATTACTGTATTCTCTAACTTGATTACAATTACTTGATATTGATGAGAGATGTATGAAGGGTGGGAACGCGCGGTGTACTTGATGACCGAAAACGATCTGAATGCAATTACTTATTTTTATATTATAACAAATTATAGAAATGATGACGCGTGCGTCTCACGCGGTTTCGTAATTATGTCGAGTGTAACTCGTACATGCTCCCAGGCCGGCAAGATGAGGTTAGTGGAATTAGTAATGAGATGGTAATTGATACAAGATGATTTAACAATAAAGACTTAACCTAATGCGGTTAGTGGTTACTCATGATATGACTGATAAGATGACAAGACATTTTATTTTTATTTTTAATCTAAGGTTCCGATAGTGTAAATACCGAACAAAGTATCGGAGATGTACTACTATTTTGTTTTATGATACGGGCACCTGCTTTTTCACTACACTGCACTACACTTGCACACTTTGAGCACTGATTGTCCACTTTGTAAGAGACGGTTTGTAACCCCGCCGCGGCAGTTGTCGCGACTGGCAGCGACTGCTCCTGTGACGCCTCCGCTGCTGCCTGCTGTAATGTCTGTTGTCTGCGTACGCGTACACGTTTCATCACATAAATGATAGCCGTCAATAACATCACTCCTATGATGATATAAATTGCTGCGTAGTGGTGCGCATCATGAGTGGAAACTGTTTGTATTATCGGGGTGTTGTCCTTCATGATATCTATTTGTGCTCTGATTTCTTGTAGTTGTTTATCGGAATGTGTTGTACTGTCTAACTGAACGGATGTGGGAATTGATACGTTAATTATATGGTTTATTGGGGCTATTCTTGGGGCCTCAATCTCAGAACTGATCATGATTTTGCTTGTCCCAGATCTGTGTGCGAATACAAGAAAATCCTCTGATTTAATAATGCAACCTGCATTTACTGATAATAAACCACTGCCAGTCAGCTGGACGGCTGTAATTTGATCTCCGCATAATAGCTTCATATGACACTGTTCACAACAGAAATAAAAATATTCATTTAATTTGTTTATTTCTCTCCATATATTACCACAGGAGCTTGTGGTCGATTTGCAGATCCTTGTTCCGGCTAATCTCTCACATAGGTTCTGGTCATCCTTGATATGATAAATAGGTTTCCTTAAATAACATAAACTTAAGTTTATATTTTGACGCGTACATTGTTTGAGATCACTCTCTGATATTGATATTAGCGCATCTTTCTTGAGATTGATTGCAGCATATTCTGATATTGGTACGACTGTTGTCGTTTGATTACCTTTCAGGTAGGGTATGGGAATGAGCCTGTATATCTCATACATATCCCTTCCAATCAGAGGGATCTTTATTTCAATGATGAGGTATTTCGGCGACATTCTAGTTCGTATTTGCAACAAATTATATACTTCTGCTAAATTGAAGCTGTCGATAGGAGATGATAAATCCCTCGGCAATTGGCCTGATATAATGTTTAGCTCATGCCTTAACTGTTCAGGCCTGAGTAATTGGAAATTAAATCTACCATTGTAAATATTTGTAATTGTATCTAGTAGAGTCACTTGTATATTTCTTAAGCTAAACAGTATGTTATTTGAAATCATAGATGTTTCTATGAAATCTGTAGACAAAGAAAGGTTTTGCATTCCCTCTTTAATTTGATTCAAAGAAGTTTCAATACGATTTAATTTTTGATGGATCAATTTATGATGATGTTCCATGGTATCTTCTGTTCTTTTCAACAAGTTAAATTCTGCTTCAACTACCGACGTCTGATTTTTCCAAAGCTCTGCTAGATGATTTTCATTGACCCTGATAGTATCAATATCCTTTTCATATTTTTGAGCGAATTGATCATCCAAGACCCCAAATAGACTATTCGCTACGTAGCCAATGCCATTTATGAGCCCACGGCGGTGACGTCGCTTACTGTAGGTATTTGTCTGATAATTCATAAGAATGTTGTCATTATGTTGCAATTCTCTGAACCCGTGCCTTAATTGTAATATGATCGCTTTGCAGTGTGATTCCATTTTTATTAATGGACATATTTTTTCTAAATAGTCGATGTACTTTTGTAGCGTCGTATTTCCTTCTTGATAAGGAGTCGTATCGTAGTAGACAACAAGGCGCCAATTGTCTCGTATTAAATGCATATTCGTAATGGAATCAAAATAAATACTGTTATTGTTTTGCAGTAATGTAATATTGTATACGGTTTGTGACGAAGGTGCAATGGCCATGAGAAATAATAATAAAGACATGGCTACTTTTGTAAAACTGCTCGGTTTGGTTTTAGAATGTGGAATCTTTTGTTGAAAGTCTCTTTCTGGATTTTCATCCATTTTATTATTTTCTTGACTTGATGTAAGAATAGAAAGCTTGATAGTAGGTCGCTTGATTAAACCATTTTTTGTTTTGAGAGTAACGACTCTCACATAGTGGTCGCTACCCGGATGGAGTTGTACAACCTTCCCCAGCGCCCAATGGCCAGGAATAACAGTTTTTTGTTTTATTAAACGGTTTTATATAAGATTACTATGTTTTATATGTTTCGGAAGTAAGTATAATAATAAAGTAAAATATCAAGAAGATAATACATGTAGATATTTATTTTCTAAGTACTTGGACACACAATTAACACAATACATATGTATGCATATACTGATTTTATTACAAAACGTTATAATTGTTATTTAATATAATAATGTCAAGTTACTACATATATATATCTACACGAGAAAAATATGGATACGCTAACATACATAATATTTAAATTATTTAAATTACTATGATATTCTCCCCTCAAAAATGTCTTACTAGGATACTCTCCTATATTGCCTTAACCTAATACTATATTTGATAATGAAAATGAATGAATATCAAAATCTTTTATTTCTGCGATTTACGAGAGTATATCGATATTTGTACGAGATTATATCTTATGACGTCATCATATTTTTTCAACAAGTAATCCCTACACTTATTTTTATATAGCAAGTATCGTCAAAACTCCTTAATTTATAAAAAAACACGACTTACGTGATTTATCTGAGAAAAGCTCTAACTAGTTTCTACTCACAACAGGACTCTTAATCATATAAATGATTTTATGGGATAGCTCGGCACACGAACAGCCGGATAACCTGATAGTAAGGACTCCCGCTACTTAAGATGAGTTACAATAGCGTTGCCGACAGGTGTTCGGGATTTAAGAATTTGAGGACTGAGGATGAAGGCGGGAGGGTTGGGCCTCTCACGTCGAAATGCGCCTTTATTTCACGCCGGTATTGTGCGAGCCCTTGGTATCAGTCCGGTAGAACAGGCCCATTCGCGCCGAAACGGCTCTCGCACGCTTATGACACATAAATGTAGATATCAATGATTGTGTTCAGGTTTATGATTGATTACAACATTGTCGAATGTAACAATACTCGACCGACATCCATAAGGGTACCTGTTACAGTACCATCTCACTTTAGCCCCATTACAACCATTGGTTCTGTTGTACCTATAAGTACCAATCATGATCACTGGATTTCCACCTTTCGTCATGCTGAAGACAGGTACTGAAAACAAATAAGCAGTTTTAATACTTATCGCTAACAAAATCGAGATGAGCGGATTTATAAACAATCAGCAAATATAAATAGCAATCATATCAAATTTGAAATTTGAGGCGCGCGCGGAAACCTACGCGCCGTACGCTCGGGTCTGGTTCTGGACGTTAATGAGACGTATAAGTTATAGTAAATTACCTCATAACTTTAAGGATGATTTTATTTACATAAACAATAAACATATAAAATCGCCTTAACACAGTGTATAGGTACATAAAAACATTTTGAAAATGTTTTTCTTTCAACTGATACGTAGGCATTCTTTTTGATTTCATTAATAAAATTATGAAGTTAAGTACTAGCTAAATGATACGATTTTAATCTTTATACATCTACGATATCTTTTATATAGCATATTTCACATTCAAGATAAGAGAACAGAAGATAAGACATTTTATTATTCTTAAAAAATCTTCTGTAGAAAAGCTGTTAAATGCTGGTACAAAAATTAACACAATTTTGCGAACACTTCTACGAAATATGTATTTTAAATGATACAAACTTCTGTTACTGTTATTTATAATAAATAAAAGCAAAGTTAAATAATAATAATGATAAATAATTAACATTAATTTTAAAATATATATAACATACATTTTAGTTAATATTTAAAAACATATTACTATCGTCTATCTGAAGCGTAATAAACAGAGATATAATTTGATGGATTAAGTGAGCAATCAAATTCAATGAGTATGATCTGCTTTATGACGAATAATAACGCTGTCGTAAGTCATGACGCTGGAGCGACATCCATAGGCGTATCTTGTACAATACCACCTTACTTTAGGCCCCTTACTACTAGTGTCCATATTGTATCTGTAAGCCCCAATCATTATCACGGGGACCCCATTTTTCGTTTTACCATAAACAGGTTCTGCAATCAAAGAAAAAGCTAAATTAACTTAAATATTATTAAAATTAATTAAAGAAAAAGCTTTTGAAATGTCAAAATCTCACTGCGTAGTACAGTCAGCGTCAAACATCGGAACAGATAAACAATCAATAGTTTGGATACCATCAAAATGTATTTAAAATGTCAAAATGAGAGAACGAGTCACTTGAAAAAAAAACGAACCGTGATTCTGTTGTACGTATAAGTACCAATTATGATGATATACCTAAGTTCCAATTATGGTGGTCCCTATTTACGCAGTAAGCTAGTGTTTAGGGAGCTGGTCCCAAAACCCTGACGCTTCATGTATCTATAAACATTTTATCTTTCTATATGTGTTCAAATAACAAAAAAATTTTGAAAAAAATTATCAATTGATTTGCACCTTCAGTCATGCTAACACATATGTAAGTAGTTTAGACGGGGCCCTAAAGGGCTGATGTTCAGCCGGGGTGGCGGGGTAAGCGCAATGAGGCACGGCGACCTCGGCCCAGAGCAGGAGAAGGAACAGGGGGGTTTTTAGTCAGTAAGAGTCTGACACTCCCTCCCGCCAGGCCCTGGGCGGTAGAATCATTTGATGATTTTCCCTTCACAAAAAAAAAATGTAAGTAGTTTGAATACTTATCACTAACAAAAGTCAGATGAACGGATTTAGAAACAATCAGCAAATATAAAAAAAACTTCTGTACAAGTTCTGTTTAAAATCGACACAATTTTGCACTGGGACGAAATATTTTAAAGGATACAAAATTTTATTATCACATTTGTTTATATTTAAAAAAGCAAAAGTTCAATAGTTAACATGTTTATCAATTTAAAAGTCGTATTACATAAGGTTTAGTAAATATTTAAAAAAATAGTACCATCGACTATCTGAATCATAATAAATTAGATAGATAATTTGATGGATTAAGTGAGCAATCAAATTCAATGAGTATGATCTGCTTTATGACGAATAATAACGCTGTCGTAAGTCATGACGCTGGAGCGACATCCATAGGCGTATCTTGTACAATACCACCTTACTTTAGGCCCCTTACTACTAGTGTGCATATTGTATCTGTAAGCCCCTATCATCAACACAGGGATACCATTTTTCGTTTCGCCATAGACAGGTTCTACAATCAAAGAAAAGGTGCACTTCAGAAATGTCTAAATCCCACTGTAGTACAGTCAGCATCAAACATCGGAACAGATAAACAATCAATAGTTTAGATAACATCAAAACGTCAAAATAGTAGAACTCGAAAAAATCAATCGAAAACGAAATAGACCATTTGCGCCAAACGTGTGATAAAAAAAAGAAATTTAATTAATAGATTTTTTAATATTACAAAACTAAAGAAATATTTATAAGAATTAATGGTTATGCGTGAGGTCACTACTGACCAAAACATCATTGTAGGTGCAGGCTTTCGCTCGACACCCAGTTATGATGCGTCTACTGCAATACCATCGTGCCTGAGGACCTTTACGGAGTACAGTCTTATTGAACCGATTGTTCCCAATCAGAAGAACAGGATTCCCGTGCTTGGTATTAGCAAAAATTATCTGTGGTTCTGAAAGAAAACGTTAGCAGTTAAAGTTTAAAATGCCTGAAAAATGTCTCCATTATCTAATAGTAAAAACGTTATCTGGGTTGGCCACTACCGGCCATCGCGCAAGGAACCGCGGGCTCGTTCCGAACTCGGGGCAGCTTGACATGTATTGTTATAGTAAATAATAACAAAAATAATATAAAATAATTAAAAAATAATATATAACATTCTAAAAATGTATATTTATTATTTCTATAACACTCGAAAAGATAAGTTTTCAAAATGAAATGCGTTATTAAATAAAACGACTTAAGATCTCAAATTTTCAAATGCGAAAGCATTTGTGCTGTTTAACAAGATAGTTATTCCACTAGTCACATCTACGCATACTTGTCAAGGATCCACGGACAAAAGCACCACACACAGCAGCATCAGCACAGAAAGTGATGGTATCTGACATGATTTAAACACCTTCCTCAGCCGAAAGGTTTACGTTTCTATCTCTAGCTTGAGAAACCAATAATGAGCTAACAAAAGTTCCAATCTGCCATTATGTAAGTCAGTAATTATGCTCATTTTTGAGAAACTATAATATTTTCAACAATAACAAGCGATGCTCGACATTTCTTTGACTTCCGTGCACAAACCCATCGTGCCTTAAGTCCGGTAGAATGAGGAACACGATTGTATCGATATCTTTCAAATATTAGTACTGGGTAACCTGAAATTGAAGTACTGAAAATCACACCTGCAAAACAACAATTTAATAACTATTATGACATAGGTACAATTTGAATACTAAAAGTTTACATTCTATGATGATGATTTTTTTAATATCATTGTCAAAGTAGTATTTATTTAACGAAAAAATATTTTTAGTGACCTACCTATTCGTAAAATATTTTAAAGCTTGAACGGCAGTTCATTTTAAATATACACAAACACATACACCCTGTTTAAAAAGTACTTCAAGCTACGGTTTAAAATCACTTTATTTGAAACCAATCACAAAACAATTTTATTAACCAACAATAAATTATGTTATGTACGAAACATGTCGATAGTTGTTGCGGATCCGTTTCGGTGACAGAGAAGGAACGGAGTGGGTTCGTCAATAAGAGTCACTTTCGCTCGTTTCACCTCTATAAAATTATTGATTATAATATATATTAATTGATGATAATATTATTATAAGAAAAAAAATTAGTACTTCATGCTCAACTTCAAAAAGAGCTATAGTACGTTAAAGTACACCGTCATATGTATTTATTAATTTAGGATCGTGGTTATGTTCATTTTTAAGTCGAATAACTGTTTTGTCTATAGTGATGGCGATCGCTCGACATTTGCTTGTTTTCCTAGCACAAACCCAACGTTTTGCCGGTCCATCACTTCTAGTTGCCAAGTTGTATCGGTAGCCAGCGTGAGTTAACACAGGATAGCCAGATCTCGACGTGCTAAAAATAGCATCTGTAAATAATTAATATATTAATTAATTAAGTATCATTATTTGCCACTAAAAATATATGTTGCCTTCTAAATTACTAAGTCAGTCACAATTAACGAGCATCTAAATAATACTACAATAACCATAATTATTATCTTCTATGTTAAACACTCTCAATACAACCCAGCACGAGAATAATTTCTTAGCATCTAAATTTGTAACACGCACTAACTACAATCTCAAATACATTAAAAATATACGTATTTAGCTAAATTTACAGTCAGCTGATGATTTATTTATTATTGCATATTTCATGTATGAGAGTTAGTTGTCATACTATTGCTCACTGCCATATTCTTAAAACTTGTCTTTGACATTCCTGGTCACTTACCGTGTAAATAATCTCATAGACTCTAATCAAAAAATTATCTGTTTTTGTAAAAAGTATAAGACGGTTGGTGAAAGTTTTTAATGAAAACTTTGATTATATAACCAAGAAGTAATAATACTGATTTATTCAAAACAAAAACTATCGTTACAGGATTGAACTCATTAAAGTGCCTATACAATCTATAGTATGTTTTAATGAGAACATATAAGTCTTTTAATCTTTTAACTTTTATAAAGTGTTAACAATACGACAATAAATAAAAACAATGGCAATAATAGCATAGAACTATTCAATACTATCAAAAACCTTACATGAAAAGTAAAAAATCATACAAACTAAATAGCATCAAAGCGAAAACAAAATAGAACACCATATGGTCGGATTTCTAAAATTCTTTTACTGATAGATAGCTACAATGTTCCTCATAGCAAAACATCACGCTACGACTAAATGGAGCCGAGCATCGGGTGAAACCGCACGAGAGTAGCTAGTAAATAATAAAAATCACTTTTACTAGAATCAGGTATCGATATTTCCCTTAAACCATACCTTTAAGGGACGGACAGATTTTCTTTACAATTTATATTTTACAGGGACTTAATTTCTGGATATTTAAAGAAAATATATTTTATATGTAGACTGAGAACGTCTTCAGGTATGCGCAGTTTAATTTACTGTCGTATTGTCATTAACACCTTGTATGTTCTATGTATGTTAATTTTTTTGCAATATTGAATAATAAAAAAAATATATCATTTCAATATACATATCAACAGCTCCTGATCAGCAGGCTCGTTTGTCTACTATTCCTTAAAAAAAGATGGCTTCTGGATGAACGGCTTGTACTCTTATGATGACAAATTAATTACTAACACTAATGATTATGTTCATGTCGATGACTGACGATGACGTTGTCAAAAGTGAACACTGCAGCCCGACATCCTGTCGACGCCCTGTTGCAGTACCACCGGACCTTGCGTCCCTTACAACTGGTTGCCATGTTGTATCTATACCTTCCCACATTGATAACCAGGTTCCCAGATGGCGTAGTGCTAAACACGGGATCTGGAAAAAAAGTAAGACCATTAAACGCTTGGGTTGTGTTTTCTTGTGTTTGTGAGCTAACACTAGACTGCGTTAGGAGTTAATTATTTCGACATCCTTCAAAACAAGAGTAGACAATTTGCTGTAAGACGTTTGATACATACAAGTGTCGAGTAGCCCTATTATGGCTTCAAACTAGTTTAATTATCTCGCCAAAACGTTCGCGAATTAGCCGTTACACATAGCAATTGATGTAATAAAAAATACCATTCCAACCGTCCTCCCAGATCCCCAATCCTAAAGGCCAGCAATACAACGGTTACTCCTATAAATCTTGAGGATTATATTAAGGTTACCGAAAAATCTAAGTTTTAGGTAAATTTCTTCAAGAAGTGAGAAATAATGTTATGTGATACATTAATCACTCTTATTTTTCAAATATTTTCGGTTGGTTACTATTAAAACAGAGAAAAATTCTGCATAGGCATCATTTATTTTATACGTAGCAAACACTAACTTACAGTAGTTTTAATTGGGGAAAGGAGTGTCACATACAATATGTGCAGTTAATACCCTATTACCCTATTAAGAACCCCTATTATATACCCTTTTAAGAAATAATACGCTGCCTGAATTAATTTTCGTTTATCTTTTTTGATGCATATGTTCTTTATTATGCTGAACAATTATATTATCCACAGTAAATATTGTTGACCGACATCCGCAGGCGTATTTTGTGCAAGTCCAACGTAATTTTTTCCCTTTGTACCCGCTGGCTAAATTGTAACGATACGGGCCAATAGTGATGACTGGGTTCCCGTTCCTTGTCTGACCAAATACTGGTTCTGAAAAACATTTAATTGAATCAACTTTATCAAAACATGCTAAAATCATAAAGGTTCAGGCAATGAACACAATAAAAAATAAATTTCCAAGAATATTAATCAAATTTATTTAAAAAAGAATACAGTCAAATACATGCCACGATTTACAAAAAAAGACATTATAATAGCACACGGCACGTTACACCAATTGCGTTATTGAATAAAATATTTCAACCAATCAGGGTCGACCTAAAACCTGTTACGTACCCGGTAGAATTTTAATAAAAAAGTACGTTTATGTAATATACTTGTTGTACTAATAACCAACATTTATACACATTATAGCTGATAAAAGAATACAACACTGTAAACTAGCAAACGCATGCTAAATTAGCTAATTGTTTTTTATTGCATTAACATTATATCGATCTTGCTAATAACAATTATGTACAAATTGTACTAAAAGGTCGCGTAATGAGGTCATATTGGTTTTAAAAATAACATTTTAAAACACGTATAATTAGCTATAACACTAAAATTTGTCTATTCTAGCTTTAGTGCTTCAAAATCCCTAAAGCATTTTGGTACTCGACCAGTTTCAAGCTATGATCGAAACTCATAATCATGTGCAGCATACGGCGTGTGACCGTGCTCACTTAACTAATTCTAATTAATTTTGTATGATTAGCAATGTTGAGGATCACCCGTCGTAGGTATTATGTATAATGAAACCTTAATTTAAGACTAGAGCACTTCTAACTAGTCTACCTTTATTGTAACTACAATTTTTAATTTGATTAGATAATTATTTGTAATTAATTATCCAAATAAATATGATACCGGAATATTTCATTAAAATAATTATTACCCTTATTTTTAGAACGAATGTAAAAAGTCATTTCATCACTGGATTCAAACATCAGCATCCCAATTAAAATTCTTACAAAACTAACAAAACGTGATTATTGTGATAATGCTCGAAAGCTTGTGCTAACACTAAAAGAGATCAAAAAGAGACCAAAAAATATTAACTAACCTACACGTATGCATTTTCAGGTTCCATCAAAAATCACAAGCTGTCTATCGATAAAACACACACATTCGCCTTAACATACATAATGACAGCAACAACTGCTGTTTCCATCATAATTTCATTACAATTTTTGATTCAGCAAACACTTTTAGACGAGTCTTCAATATAAATATTAATACTGTTACTGTCAACAGTTAAACTCAATTTCATCCGCCGTATCGGTCTCAAGAGATCACCATGGCATTTAACATGTTACCTTTTTAAACGCACAGAGTAAAAAAATATCGCCATTGCCGCCGTGCATCTACCGCCAAATCACCAATTTTGAAAAAAGAATTCATTTTTAGTTTTTGAATATCAAGCAAACAATGAGGTTACATACAACAAACGCAACCTTTTTATAACTTTCATATCATTTTGCGAAGTTTTGTCTTGTAATTTGTGACTTTGGGGTGAGTTTTCGTTCCGGACAAATAAGTACAAACATATGTACTTACTTGTAGCAATGGCGATCAGAAGGCTAACATGCTTTATGTATAGTGCCATCAAGAATGAAGTAGTCCAACCTATCGTGTTCATGGACCAAATGAGGTCTGTGAAGGGTATTGTTTCTTATAGTGAATCTTGCTTTACAGTTGGAGCTTCGGCTGCATCTCCACACGCTGTAGGAGTCTGTCTGCTTATTGCAATAGAAGGTGTAATGATCCACGATAGCGACTGATCTTCCTTTCACATTCCTCGCCCATGTCACTGAAACTAAGAAGAAAACATCTAAATATTGGGCAACAAGAATACGAGGGAAAGTGCTACTAGCCTTATCACTAAACAATGAAACAAAGATAAAAAATATTTAGAAAGTGTATTAGATAGAATTCCAGGTTAATTTGCGAATCTGCTTTTTTTAAAACATTATCAACCAAATCTAAAAGGAATAAGATAAATATCATAACTTAGCCAGGAGTGGTGGATTACTGTTTAATAAAATCGTTTATTTTTCCTTTTAAGCTTTCCGATCAGACGGCATACCTAATGGTAAGCTATCGGCACCGCCATTGATTTATTTTTATTCTTAATACTCCTTGAAATAAACATAGCTGCTTTTATTCTAAAATTTTAAACCTTGATATAAAAACCGTTTTTGAAAATATAATTAGGTGGTGGATGCTGATGGTCCAGATGGCAGGATTTGATGTGTTTTCTATCCTTGGTTATAGTGAAGCGGGCTTTACATTTCTTGGAACCGAAGGTGCATAAGTACATATCGGAAGACTTGGCTCGACCGTCTAGGTAGAAGGTGTAACCTTGGAGTACAGCCACTTCTTTTCCCGTCGGCTTTTTAAACCATTGCACTGTAAATATAAAATTTAAACGGGATTAAAGAAACTTTCAATCAGTTCTTTTTATGTAGGTCTGCCTTTGGCCATTAATTCTAATGGGATTCACGTTTTGTTCTATCTGACATAATTTTTAAAGTACCTACGTCTTCGGAAGCTATTTTATATAGGTACATAGTCAGTCTCAGTCAGTCCATTAGTTTAATAAAAATATTTCATCTATTTAAATGAAACTTCTTAGGCTCGTTTCGTTACGACACAGGCATGGTTACACTGGTTATAAAAAGTTACACAATTTTAAAGAGTTTAATGAAAAAAACTACTGATCTCATTCCTTGCATTTATGTATACCTACCTACTTATTTTCTAATTTAATGTTCCATTTCATTGTTTAATTATATTGCAATTCTAATGTTGTTATAATATTTTTAATATAATTCTAATTATGTTATTGTAATAGATAGTTTCGTTCTGACTCTACTAGGTTATCACTTTATTTTTAAGAATGCTGGTTACCTGTAATTGGCGACTGTATAAGGCCAAAACCTAATGTTTCATTGTTTTATTTAATTTGCTATATACAGAAGCTGTTGGTGTACCTTTTTTAAATAAATAAATAAAATTGAAAAAAAACTAAATGTGTAAAAGTGCTTTCTTGTGTACAGATAATAGCGCAGATTTTAATAAGGTTTCCAAAAAAAGGAAATACTATCGACAGGTTAACAAATTATTATTGTATGTCCCGTCTCTACATAAGAGAGCTTGGCAGACGGGTTGGACTTCGACACGACACGTCTTCATGGATAAAGATGTCTTTAGTATTTTCGATAAGGATAAAATCAGCCAGCAATAAAACTCCAGATCAAAGCGTAAATTTAATGACCAGACAATCAATTTCAAAACAAAACAAAACAAAATCTATAATTAGTCAACGAAATAAATAAATTAATAAGTACAAAACGAGTATTATTTGCATTAGGTACTAGTTCAGTTCCAAATCATTGCAAAAGCAACTATAAACTATGGAAACATTCGCTTCTATGATGATAGGTAAATTCATTACTCCTCCAACACACAATAGAATAATTTAATAAATGCAACACACAACAATATGAGTATATTTAGGTAACATCAATACTAATAGTAAAGCTGTAGATATTTCTTCTTATAACATTAATCTCTTAAAACTTCTAGTAAATAAAATCTTTATATTTGACAGTGATATAAATCTCGACTAAGATCACGTTCCAACGTAGGGGCCGAAGCAAGAAAAAACGAGGCAGATCTAATTAACGATCAAATATTTGCAGATCTAACAATTTGTTTATGCTATGTATCATCAATAGCCTTCTATGCCTATACTAATATGGCTACTATTTATGAATAACATAGATTAAAATCACATATTTTGTTCTTTAAATAACTAATTTCAAGAGACGCACGTATTGTCTTCGTCGTACGATCGCGATCGTCTTGAACCTCATGCATTAAATGTCCAATCTACACCCATAAACCAAGCGGCATTTTAAACTGACACATATTTTCACATAATACTTTACGTAATGAGAGAAATTCCATTCCACTCTTGGACTAATCAAAATTTACATTCGAATAAAAATACCATTTCGTATAATATGCTTCGGTGGTGGATGTTCGTGGACTGTGTAGCAGGATTTCAAAAACTCTCGATCCTTTGTTACAACGAAGCGGGCTTTGCATTTTCTCCCAACAGTGCACGTATAAACATCGGTGGATTTGTTACGACTATCGCATAAAAAAAACGTATATCCTTTCAGCATAGCTATTTCTTTACCCGACTGTCGCCGATACCATTTCACTGTCACTGAAAGAAAATGTTGTCAAATTAGTATAGAATTAATTATTATTGATACTAAATTATGGAAAGAATGACCTTATCCTTCTTATTAATGATGACTGGCACTTTTTGCTTGGTATGAGAAACGAAGACGCAGTTAATCATTGACGGCGGCAGCGAAAATCGAAGCAATGTTACAAAAAGGTGTTATCAATGTTCGTGTGAAAAATAAACAACATAATTTGACATGAACGTAAGTTGTTTATATTATTTACTTTACAATTTACTATATATTACAACTTACTATAATAAATACATTTCTAATAAATAGCTGAACTGTACAGATCATTCAATGAACACAAAAAATAATAAAAAAAAGGTTTTTGGTAGAAGCATATAGTATATAATCACACGTAGCAAGATATGAGCATCAAATATAAACGGAATTTGAATAATGCTAATAGTCTTATCAACAGATAGGTACTTTTATCTGAAATTTTATTCAAAATATTTAACAAGGGCTTGTCCGTCACCTAGGTGATGCACCATTGGAAGACCATGGTTGTGTGTTCCGACGATGTTAGCAACTTCTAGGTTTTCAGTAGTGACGACAACTACCTTACATTTTGCTCTATAACGGGAGCAGTACCACCTCGTTATATTGTTCTTGGTACAATGCTGGCGACTGTAAGTATACCCATTTAAAAGAAGCACCTCTCCTTTGACGGTTTTCAATAACACACCTGCAATACAATTTAGTGGTTTGTTTCATAAATATAGCATATTTCAATCTTCCTTAATGCTTCTTCACTGTGTTTATCAATAAGATTGTAACAGAAAAAAAAATCCAATCTATAAATGGTATATCATTATATTTAGCCAATAGTTTACAAACATATAAAACATATGCAAAATTTTAAATTACATTATAATAAAGGATACAAAATAAGTAAAAAATAATGATAAAATGTCAGTTGTCTGTGACCAATTTTTTTTAAGGCACGGACACTGTTGATTAATTACAAGTGCTTTTAGTGATTGGGAATTTTTCTTAATAATTTATGTAAGCTTTTCCTTCACCAGTATAATATAGGTTTGGGGGAATATGGTTGTGTTCGCCGAGGAGGGTAGTGACGACCAGGTCCAGGGTTGTGAGGACGGCAGCCTTACAGCCGTGGTGGTAGCGCGTGCAGTACCACCTCCATTTCTTATTCCTGGAACACTGCTTACGATTGAAAGTGAACCCGCCAGCATAAAGCATCTCACCCTTGCCGGTTTTTATTATCTCGCCTGTGATAAACAATTAATTCAATAGATTTTTTTAATTTGACATTTTTGTTAATTTTAACTAAAAGTCACACATCACACATGTCTATGGTTTTTAGGGCATTCTGCAGAGTTACAACGAAGTTGGTTTTATGTACTGATCACAAGGGCGGCTGTGAATGTTTTAGTCTGTTTGAGCTCTGACAGCCCGAGGAGGTTCCCAGGCGTCAGAATATCATAATTTATATATATAAATAAACTTAGAAATACATATAGGTATATCACATTTGACTAATCTCACAAAATAATACATATCAGAAAAAAATACACGAAAAAGACTTTAGACAAATCTTCGAAGTTTGAAAAAAATTGCTTATAAGAAAATGTTACAGAACTTAGAAGATCAGATAAGTAACCTCATGGTAAGCAATCGGCGTCGCTCATAAGCACCCACATCACCAGAGCAGTTTCAAATAGACACGTTGCCGCCTTTCCGAGTTTTACAGGATTAGGGATGGGTGACATTTTGTGATATTTTTCTTTAAAAACAATTTATTCATATTTTAAGAACCTATATAAAAATAATTAAATAAGGCAAAGTAATGAGTCAGAATAAGAAAGTGATTCGAGCAATACAAATAAATAAACATGAAACCAAGCAAAAAATAAACGCAATTTTGTTGAAAGTTCTAGAAAACTTGGAACAGGAACAAGGACTGTGAAAAAAAACAAAGATTTTTGTATCAGATCTATACGTGTAATTCTTTATTGAGTACTTATATAAAATAAAACAAAACGACGTGATTGCAATTTAATTACTTAATCACTAGTAAGTTAATTATATTGGAAAATAAAACTAAACTTAAGTAAATAACGTACCAACAAAAATAGTATATATAACACACACAATTCTTAATTTATAGGAAACATACCTAAGTACACACTTAGACGATACATCTGTTTACATAATTCCCATATTTTTTTAAACATCTTTACAAGAATAAGTAGGCATTATTTTAAACCTCTTCACTGTAATCTACGAATGTAGCGATTCTTAGATCCCGTGTTCAATAATAAATGAACAACATGCGTCTATGCACCTGGGCCATAACTCTAACACTGCACTGTCCCACTGTGCAGGGATAAATTCGTATTTGTATAATTATAGAAGGGAGATAATATAATAGTAACTTTTTTGGCATTTTTTTTATACAAAGTTGCAACAAAACGTATCAGGGTGGGTATAATGCCATGGCATTCTTGCATTCGTTTTGATTTTAATATTTGTTATTTTGTTTTTATGTTTTTTCTCTAATAACTTAATTGTTAAAAGTTGTTAGATTCAATTTAAAATAATTATTATGTGTAACGGCTTTCTCGAGTAATTTTTGACGAGATAAGTCGATTAGTTTCTAACCGGGCTAGGTATTCGTCGTTTTCCACTTTTGTTTCTGCCAACTCCTTTTGGCTCAGCCACAGAACAGAATTTTTTTCTACTCCGTGGGCTCAGCCAACTGTTGTCTCGAAACTAGCTTTCTCATTGTCAATACTTATGTGACTATTCGTAAAACATAATAATTAATCGTATTCTTTATAGTTACATTTTGTATCTGTGGCTAAACAAATGTTTTTTGTATTCTTAAACAGATCAGTGGCGATAATAACTTATTTTAGTGCGCGATTGTAATTAATAAGCCTTTAAATGGAATGTCATATACGAAGTGTCTTTATAATTTAAAATAACTATTACACTTATTGTCATTAGTAAATCGTATCATTAATAATATTTTATTTAAGTAATATAACTCATAAGCAACTTATGTAATAAATAATTTCCGAAATTTTCAACTTCAACACATAAATAAATAGGATAACGCTATGTATATGTTGAAGACATGTTTTAATTAAATTAATCTACGCTTGAAGAGAGGGATATTTTCCATATAACCTGGAGGGTCGTGGTCGTGTTCTCCGGTGTAGGCTATGATGAATAAGTCTTCATCAGTGATGATCCTGGCCTTGCATCCATGGTGGTACCTGGTACAGTACCAGCCCCAGTTCCGGTCCCTGGCATTATGTTTCCGGTTGTACAAGTGTCCTGATGCAAGAAGCACCTTATTTTTCCCACTTCGGATTAATGTCGCTGCAAGAAGTATTCACATGTCAGTTCATCTTGTAGAACAAATTGAGAAAATATTAAATATTTCAGTTATTTATTTATTTTTAATTTTATTTATTTAATTATTTTAGACAGTTTTAGAGGATGTACCTGATGTATTATAATTAATAAATAAACGAAAAGGCTGAAGAGGATAGTTACAATGATGGTAATGTGTAACAAGCTACTTGGGGACAGTTTCGTCATTAGAAGCAGATTTATGGGATGCTGCTGTCTATTTCTCGGCGGCTGGTCGCAGTTTTACGACATACCTGGGTCCAAATACGATGCAATGTAAAGAACTGTTGTTATAATACATGATATATTTTATAGATAAAACGATGCAAGGAAAAAGTCAAACTATTAATTAAAATACTGACAATTTAATAGATTTATTTCCAAAATACTCAGATAGTGTTTTTATAATAAAACAACAAGTTTTTCCAAACCTCTAGTCTAGAACCATTTATATGAGAATATAAAACAAAAGCACCATTTAAAACAAAAACAAAAGTGCAAAATATAAAACAAATAAAAGCAATTAGAACAAACAGTAAAAATATTTAATACACACGACCTACGCACTAGAATATTTACAATTATAAACTACGTAATAATAAACTGTTCATTAAAAAAACAATACTTTCCAGATTCATTCAAATTTAAATAAAGATCATCATTTACCTCCTGATATTCATCTAGCTTGGTTGGTCATTTGTTTGCCAAAATGTCAATTATTTTACCCCTGGTTGTTGAAAAACTGCCCAATCTTAATAATGGACTTTCAAATGGTATCTCATAATCATAAGCAACAACTAGAAATGATAGAATTATTTTCCGGCTCAAGATTGATCCTGAGCCCTACGTATAAACCACTTAGCCAACGATGCAGTCAAAATATCAAGATGATATCATAATAATTAATATTATATATTTAATACTTACATCTTCATCAATACTAGAAATTGTTAAATATTTAACAAAATTATAACACAATTTTAAAATGATTCTCTTGACCAGTAATTTTCAAAGCTCCTTTGGTAACATTACATTATTTCTTTAACAACGATTACAAATATTATCTCAAAGTTTTAACGAAACTTACATCAGTAACACGTACTTACGTAGTTGGAATGTGCATTATACATTAAATATTATAAAAATATATTACATTTAGATCAAATCACTGTAATCTTACATTAACATTTAATAATTTAAAATTGTCTGCTTCATAAGTCAACATTTACGAATCTTTTAGAAATATCAATTTTGAAAACAACGAAATGTTGCTCCTTGAGGTCGCTTACAATATTACGTAGACACAAAAAGCTTTAAGTCCAGTATGTCTATACCATAATTATTTGACGTACTCGTCATAAATATTGTAATTTTGATATTATTATTTTTTTCATAAATATTTCAGAACATCTCAAGGCACGTCAAAATTCTTATAAAAGTTCCCCAAACCTCTTAACACATTGAAAGGTGAAAATTTTATTTCACATAGTCCCTATTCTCTTATCAAATACCAATGTTTCTTTGCATTTTGTTTACGAAAAACGTTTAAGTTTAAAACTTTACGAAATATTTTAAATTTCGAATGAATAAATAACAATAAGAAGCAGTCGTAGTGCATGTCGCACGATTCAGTAAACGAGATTATTTCGTTTCAATTCCCGAAGCAAGCAAATATTTCTAGATGAGATTTAAGCATGAGAGTGTAGCCCTGTAGTGGATACGACAATGCCATCAATTGTGACGGCGGATGCTTTACATTTGTGTTTATGCTTCTTAGCGCATGTCCATCTTATTCGATTGCCGACGAGAGATCGCGAATGCCTGAAGAACTTATGTCCTCCGATATAAATATTTGTGGTCTCCCTTGCGCAGAAACGGGCACGAAGGAGCGACGCTACGAATTCTGCAATAAGACAATGAATTGAATTCTGGATCCCAAACGTTACTAAAATATAAAACTATAATTAGAAGTTATAAAGAATTATATACCAGCCTTATATGTATATGTACACCAGTGTGGTAAATTAAAACGACACATAATTTGAGAGTACCTATAATTTGGAGAACATCATCATAGTAGTGACTATAGCTCGCAGAATAAAACTAGTTGTATGTACATATTATTTATAACCCTAAACGAGGTATTTAAAGGTTTGAATTATTCCTGAAAAGAATAAAGCATATTTACAACATTCGATGAACAGTTCTTGTAGTCAAATGCAAAAAAGAGAAGAGTTTCTTCTCTTTGTCTTTTGACTAGCAGCACAAATTTTGTGTATCACTGATACCATTTTGGATTAGAAATAAAAAGAAAATTATGCAAGTAATTTTTCTATATTGTTTCAATTTCCTTCAACAACAGTCTTATCATCATTGTTTTAACAAAAAAATCAGTCTTCACTTGTACTAAATTTAACATAGTATTTTCTTTTACATAACGAAAAACAAAAACAATCGCATAATATTACGAAAAAAATAGCACTTACTTGATTAAAAAAAAACAATAAACTTACAAAATAATTGGTCACTGTTAATCACATCAACATATATGTTTGTCCTCCTCTAAACGCTTTTTGAAAACGATTTGAGAAAAGAACAGAATTGTTACAAAGTAAGTAGTTTCACTCATGATTATGAACGTCATATGAATGAACAACGAGTGAATGAATGGTGGTGGCCGTCGCTCTACATTTGGCCTTCTTCTTGCTGCATCGCCACGATACCTGAGAATTCTTCTTCGCCCGATCTCTGCTATACTTTTGCCCTCGATACAGTAACATTACATTACCTCGAGAATTCTTGACAAATGTTGCTTCTTCTGTGAAATGAATGCAAAAGGTATTAAGTTACAATGACAAATTTAGAATAAGATGAGATGACTTGCAAAATTGCCAACAAGATAGATAATTAGATAACATATTCTGCCACCCATGACGCTATGATGCAGCTGTACTAAGCTCTTTTGTTATCCTAAAACATGTTTCGAGTGCGCAAGGGGAAGATAATAATAATAATATCAAAAGAGCGAATGAATGACAGCTGACAGTAGAAAGGAGAGAGAAAAAAACCATTCACCTTTGTTAAAATGTTAGTATTCACATGTATGTATGTAATTACATATAATGACATATATGATACGTTGAAAAGTTTTCAAAATATTGCTATTTGTGAAATCTAATGACTATATCTGGATGTTAACGAATACAGTTGCACCAACCGTATTTATTTTAACAGGTTGAATAGAAAAGGAATCCCTTCATCCTAATATGAAATAAATAATCCACTCTATGAGAACAACATAAAACTTAAGTACTAGTTGCCTATTTACAATAATTATTGTACAATGTACAATTTTTGCGGTCTGTCTTTACCTTCTTCGGTCTTCTTTTGAGAACTTGGAACGCGTTTTATCATAAAAATACTTACAATAAGTTAATCACAGCGCAATATTTATATAAAGTAAAGGAAATTTTAGGAAGTAAGGGCATGATTGCTATTATATCGAATTATTCATGATTATGCTGACCATTGACGCTGAGTATGATTTTATTCTTAGTTCTAATTGTGACTCGGCATCGTTTTCTCTTTTGATTGCAACGCCATATAATCTCGTTACTACAGTTGATATGTCCCTGGTTGTACTTGCGACCGCGGTACATCATCACTTCATTCCCGATCGTAGTCATTTTAAAACATGGAATTTCTGAAAAAACGTACAATATTATGTCTTATTACTATATATAATAAAAGATAACAAAGGATCCAAGTCTGCCTCTATAATTCCTGACTATTATCCTCACGGAATAAATGTGCGAAAGCATAATTTGTTTATCCTTTTAAAAAATGCCGTTGCCAACATAAGGTTTTATAATTCTCCTGTGTGATCAATACGTTGACAGTCATGCACACATGCGCTCGGACCCAGACCCGGAACAAAAATCTGTACATGACACAAACAGTTGTTCCGTATGGGATGTTGCACGACAGCCACTGCTTCCACCGTGCAGTGCAGTCAAGTATTAAAAAAATTCGAAACTGAAAGATCCCAGCTGCAAGATACATGATATTTAGTCATACCTTTAAACAAAATATCAGAGATTGTAACTAAAAACCATGGACCTTATTGACACGTTTCTTACCACAACACAGTACAGAGATGTCAACTTAGCTGCCACTAATTTGCCGATACTCAGAATAGATTGAAAATAAAATAATAAAAATTATGTAAAAACAAATAAAGTCTCGAAGAAATAAATAACATTGATATTGGTGACCTTTTATTTGATATTCAAGTAGCGCTCAGTCCAATTGACAATTAGTTGGTAAAGATATGGGCGGAAAGTCATTTTTGCGTAAAATAATTGAACAGGAAACAGGTTTACGTATATAAATACTATTATTGGTAGCGATAATGCTAACGGCCCTTCTGATTTTGGACTTACACAAAAAAACAACTCTTTTATCACTATCGTCTGTACTGCATTTGAACACGAACTAACACGTGACTAGCGGTCGAATTTAACACGGTACGTTTTTTCCCCAATGAATTATTTATCATAATCAAATCAATCACGTAATATTTTGGCGAGGTAACTCGACTTATTTCAAGCCAATTATTTTGATACGTCGAATGTTATTTCAATATGTACCACGAAAGTTATAATACATTCCTATATAAGGAATTTTCAGTGGGAGCATGATTGTGGCCCGTGTGTTTTAATACTTTGCAATTGTAGGTGACTACTACTGCCCTGCAGCCTTGGTTTCTCTTGTTACACCTCCAATAGGTTCGTCCGTCCCGATCCCGGCTCTTGTTGAACCGACAGTCGAGGAACAACAGGCTCATATTACCAAACCGATTCTCTACCAACATAATTTCTAGAATATAAATATATTTTTTATTAATGCCACACTTATTTACTCATTACTACAATGTTTAAAATTGAGTTTAAAAAGGTTAGGATTGA